CAGCCTCAGAAAAGAAATTTGAGGATGGCTGAAGATACCAGCAGAACGATGGCACTGGGACCAGTTGGAATAGCGCTGTTACACAGCTCCGCTTCACAGCAAGACATAGGCCAAACACATAATGCACTGGGCAGGCAGCCCTTTGTAACTGCATTAAGAGCTGTAAGACATGAGGGGAAAATTCTCAAAAAGAACTTCACAAAACATGATGTGACCAAGAGCCAGCAGACATTCAGCATTTAGTTTTAGATAGAGCTTGTGATATGAGATAACAACTCACCGTTTACTCTGAGAGAGTAACAACGGTCGAAGCCAGAATCACAAGCTGTGGTGTTTGTGCAGGATTTAGGATCTGAACTTTCGCATGTGTAGCATCTTAAACCACATGCTATAGAAACAAAAAGAACACAATTTTACATACATTAGCAATTACTGGGAGTTTTTTTATGCCCTTTGAGAGAGTTGCCAGAAATTGGGTCATATATAAGAAGTGAAATCATGAGAAGTTTTCTCAATCTGTAAAATATTTCCTCTATTGACCACATAATAACTAAATATGTTTGCATGTTTTTAAGCCTGTTTTCTGTGTCCCCAAATTAACCACGAAATGACTCCTTTAAAGTCTGGTGCATTGTACATATCTTTAAAACTCTAAAAACACTTATTTTTAAAGTTAAAGTTTCAATGATTAAACAACAAATATATAAAGTGTTCATTTCTGTTTTCTCACAAGCTGTTTATAAAACTCACTGTTGAATTGTTAAACCATTTCTTTAACTAGTTACCTTTAAACATCAGTACATTTTTTTCTTACCTGCAGACAGAGTCACACTCAGGATCAGAGCTGCATAAAGCTGCATCATGAACTCAATTTGCTGATCAGTCTCGTGAGAGAAAATGCTGCTGCTAATCTTTTCTTTCTCAGGTCAACTTTCGTGTTTGCTTTCAGAACCTGAGCTTTTGTACCTCTTCAAAGAGCCTACTACCAAGTGATCCATATAACCACCCCCCCGAAGTGACAACACTGTCAGTCACTGTGAGTCATAGCCAAAGGACAGGAAAGCTTCCTTATATAATTTAATAACAATAAATAATAACTTATATCTAGATACCCCTTTTGAAAGAACTCAATATTGTTTTACATTTAAAAACTGATTCATGGAAACTTTAAAACTGCACAGTAGCATAAGTGTGAAGTTTATGCATTCTCCACAAGAACAGATTCTTGATTCCTATACTTCCGAGTGCTGAGCCTTTCTTTCTTAGCTCAACTTCCTAATCTGCTTTCAGAACCTGAGCATTTGCATCTCTTCAAAAAGCCTCCTAGCAAGAGCCCAAATAACCACACCCTGTTAAATGTCAGCACTGTCAGACTATCCATTTATGGAAGGGAGGACAAGAACTAAGGTTATGCATCAGATTCTTGCCAAATAAACTATATCATATTAAACAAAAAAATGTGTAAAAAAAATTGATAACAGAACTTTAGGTGAAAGGTTACATTGTATTTATAATAAGACTTACATTTTTATCATGTTTCTTTCTGAAAGTCTGTTTGATTGGAGTATAACATTGCCTCAAGTACAATTTTATCAGATTTTTTTTTATCGTGCTTTATGTTTCACAAGGTCATTAAGTATGTTCAATAGGGAAGATCTGTAATGACACATATGTGCTTCCTGGGTGTTGGATGGCTAATCTATGTTTTACATTACTTCCCCTTTCCCATGCTGTCAAGCTCATTGCTGACATCGCTGGTCTAGTCATCTTTCTTCCTTCTTCTGGCCAATTAGCCTTCACTCTGGGTATTTTAAATCTCACTGCTTCTTCCTTGCACACACCTTTGTACAACTACCTCCTCCCCATCTCCATCATCAACGTCTAGACAACATTCAGGCCTAATTCCTGTCACCCTCGAATTTCATTCTGCCATTCCATAAGAGTCTAATTGCTATCCATTCTCTTCCACTTATCCTTTTCAGGGTCACAGGGGGTGCTGGTGTACACCCTGGACAAGTCACCAGTCTGTCGCAGGGCTAACACACAGAGACAAACATTTGCACTCACACCTATGGGCAATTTAGACTAATCAATTAATCTATCACAACTAACTGCATGTCTTTGGACTATGGGAGGAAGCAGGAGTACCCGGGGAGGACATGAAAACTCTACACAGAAAGACCCCTGGTCTGATGGTGGAATTGAACTCAGGACTTTCTTCTTGTGCGGGAACAGTGCTAACCACCGTGCTGCCCAGTCTAATTGCCAAGTAGCTTAATTGAATTCTATATATCAATATACTATGTTTACCATGTGGATAAGAGAGACAAAGAGAAAAGCAGGTCAACAACTGGAGGACAAGAGGGACCTTAACAAAGTGATTTCTGGTGAACTTAGCTAAATGATCTCAAAACACATCATGCCAAGATCTAAAGATACTCAAGAACTCATGAGAAACAAAGACACAGAGGCCTATTAGTCTGCAAAGGAATCCTAAATTCTGCTCTCTATCAGAAAACCTGGAAGGAGAATGTCTGGTGATGAGCACAGTCAGGTTATGCAGCAGGGCAGTGATCCAAAACAACAACCAAACAACCTCTGAATGGCTCAAAAAACAAGATGAAGCCTGGTCAAAGTCCGGACTTAAAATAGATTGAGATGCTTTGGCATGACCTTACAGAGGTCATTTGTGTTCAGAAACTCTAGAATATGGTTGCTTCAAATGATTCTGCAAACAGGGTGACATGGACACAGTGACAGTGACATGGAAAAAATATGCATGGCATGCTTTAATGTTTGCTTACATTTGATCCATAATAACAAGTCACATAAAAATGAATTTGCGTGTACAATAAAGTGCAGAGCTTTGACAGCCGCTGTCCAGCTTTTCAAAATATAGCAGCGCATACGATGAGGTCACAGACGCGTAAATGACGCGCGCCTTCTTCTTCCTCTTTGGTTAGCAGAGGTTGGCGGCTCCAGGAGCGTTGCTGCCTCCTCCTGGTTTCACCAGATATTCTACTCAATGCATTCTGCTCTGTGAAATCTTAAAATTAGACACTCTCGATTGACTTGATTTCAAGTTTATTTCATCCTGAAAAAGTAAAAGACTGAATTGTAAACGGTTGTTTTTGCAAAACTTGTCGTATTTTTTGAACATTTTACATTTTTCTCATGTTTCAATGATTTCAAGTTACAAATATGAACAATGACATGTCTGTCAGCAGTGCATCGTTTGAATGATTGTATGCATGTTAAACAAACAAAAACAAAGGATTAGGAGGAGAGGAAGCAGATCTGGACGGGCTGATTTGTAAACCCAGCCTGCTCAGGTGTACCGCACTTCTACTCGGGTTATGTCTGGAAGAGAGAACAGCAAAGCAGAAAGCAGGCAGCACCAGGGGGCAGTCTTGTGTTTTAGAGCAGCAGATAACTGAAACAATCTTTCAAACTTCATACAAGCCCAAATGCATATTTGTCCCTCTGCAAACATCACTTTAAAAATGCCATCATTTCCATCCGAGGTAACAGCTGTTTTGCCACCGCGTGTCAGGCACTAAAAACTTTCAGAGGTTTTAATCGTGTTTGCATATTTGTGACTGCAAGTAAGTCATAATTATAACTTAAAAACTTGTTTAGAGCTTTCTGTTAAAAAAAAAAGAGAAAGATACAGATTCATAAGTAAAGCTGTGTAAAAAGATGCCTTCATTTTCTCTCTAAAAACAACAAGGAAATAGCTCCTTTAAAGTCTGGTAATCTAGTAGTCTTGTAATTGTCGAATAGAATACTTATTTAGCTTATAGGATTTAAACTAATAAATAAAATTCTAAACAAGGAAACCAGAACACTTCAACTTGTGAGCATCAGCCCATCTTAACCTGCCTGATGATTGACCAGTGCTACATTCCTTTTAAAATACATAAAGAATTATTAACAAACAAAAAACTCCTGATAAAAAAAATAAGAAACACATGCACACACAAACAAACACAAATACACACGTCTAAATATATTTTCTGTTTGGATTTTTATTTGCTTTAGGAAAAGTGAATATTCCAGAAATACAATATTTGAACAGGACAGACCCTGATTAAATTGGAATGACATATCAAAATGTCAGTGACAATTTTATGTCACATCATTGCGCCGATCATAGAGTCAGAAAAAAGTGCAGCATGGAAGCAAAAACATTACATTTAAGCAATACAGTATTTGGATAGGTCACACCCAGAACCCAGCCGATGAAAGTAGCATTGATAGTTGTATTTCATATTAAGCACTTCAAAGTTGTTTATTTCTTCCCTGCTGGTACAAAATGTGCAGTTTGGAAACAACATCATTCCTCAGTCTCAGAAAAGAAATTTGAGGATGGCTGAAGATACCAGCAGCAGGATGGCACTGGGACCAGTTGGAATAGCGCTGTTACACAGTTCCGCTTCACAGCAAGACATAGGCCAAACACATAATGCACTGTTCAGGCAGCCCTTTGTAACTGCATTAAGAGCTGTAAGACATGAGGGGAAAATTCTCAGGAAGAACTTTAAAAAACATGATGTGACCAGGAGCCAGCAGACCTTCAGCATTTGTGTTTAGTTTTAGACAGAGCTTCAGATATGAGATAACAACTCACCCGGTACTCTGACAGTGTAACAACGGTCAAAGCCATAACCACAAGATGTGGTCTCCGTGCAGGAATTAGGATTGGTATTCAAGCAATTCACTTGTATTTTTATTTTTATTCCTATTTATTCTATTTATCCCCTTCGTATATTTTATTTATATATGTCTCTGTATTTATATATGTGTGTGTATATATTTATAATATTCTGCTCACGTTCTGTAACTTCTGTCGGTGCTGTGCTTTTGGAAACCGAATTTCCCAGAGGAACCCACCCGAGGGATTAATAAAGTTTTATCTTATCTTATCTTATCTTATCTTAAGCATGTGTAGCATTTCAATCCTCATGCTATAGAAATAAAAAGAACACAATTTCACACACATTAGAAATTACAGGGGGTATTTCTTTTTTTATTCTCTCCTGTTTTTTTTTTGTTTTTTTTTAGTGAATGGAGGATGCGCCAGTGTCCCTGGAGGTGAGGCGTTTCCACACACTTCTTTTATTTGTAGGTGTCTAGGCTGTGGTGATTTTCCCATTGCGATTTTCATTTGGTCCACGGCTGCTGGCAAGTCCCAGTTCCATGATTGTTTTATTGTATTTCAGGACACTGTCAAAGACAACGCTACATTCAGTGTTTTCTATTGTTTTTTATTCCTTGTTTATCCCCCTGACTATAAATACAATTGTATTAATATTGAGCCAACTGTGTGCATCTTTTAACTTGTGTGAGCCCTCTTTATTTGTTTCTATCTCTTTTTAATATATATTTTCTGGGGGTGAAGTTCCCCTAGGTGGCGTTTTTATTTAACCCCTCAGACCACTTTACACTACTGTCATCAGTCATTTTGTTTAAAAACTGGGGCCTGCCTGAGCTTAATGCTGCCTTAATTTTTATTCGCACGCATGCTCCTATAAGTTGCTACTACAGGTCTATTTTTAGTTGCAAATGTTGTGTTTATGTGGCGATGACAAAGTGCTACAGAAGAACTGCAGCAAAAAAAATAAAATCATAAAGTTACCTGATGTACTTAATACATTTTTGCAGCCTTAGTATAATTATAAAGTTAGCGAGGCTTTAAATTAATGGGCTCCACACTGCTTCCCCTGGCGGATACACATGACATTTTCAGTGCTGTAAATAAACGTTGCCACTCATGGTTGCATAGGCCACATCACAGACAACGTTACAGTCAAGGGCTGAAGACCCCAGCTAAATGACAGGCAGCCAGTCTGAGCTCAACCTGTTCAGGTGTGCTGCATTTCTACCCAGGTTACTTCAGTCCACTAATCTCCTGGATGAA